ACCCCTGCTTTTAGCAATATTCCAGCAATATCAGGGTTAGGGGACACCAGAATGGGCTTCACACATTGTACCCATGTGTGGAATCGAACCCGGTCTTCGATGTGACGAGCGAACGATTTAACCACTAGGCTACCTCACCGCCCCTCCTTCACTAGTAAGTAGGATAAGGGGGTTGGCCTTGATTTGGTGTTATGTCAGTTACGTATTGTCATAAAGTATCGAGTTGACTATTTTTACTTAGTTATTTTACATCAAACGTTTTGCGTCTGTTTGGCGTCATGGACATAGCCAGTTTACCCAACTTCAAAAGGTAAAGTGGCAACGCAATTGACCCTTGGGGTTCACACTGCATCTTATCATGTGTAGAGTGAGAGCAATACAAGTCTCCATGACTTGCTATAGTGTTTTTATCGGTCGTACCTCAACGGAGACCACACGCTGCATTCACGTACACACATGTACATCGTACCAATGAAAGGGAAATTGCATCACGACCAAGCGCACTACCCACTGTACTAACGCCCCAGGTGTTGGTCTAATGCCATAGTGGTTTGATGAAAAACGTTCACCACACGCTAGGCCTTTTTATACAGGTCGAGTACATCGCCTGTCATGATCTTACTGTTAAATTGCTACCAGTGGCGTAAAACGAAATATCTTATTAACCGTACGGTTACACATCAGTATGAAGTGTACTTGGTCCTGACGATCAGTCAGACACAGTTTGCACGTGCCTCACAGAAAATCTCCAACCTCACTCAGAGAGCCAAAGAAAGTGGAGTCCGGAAAATTTTTCAAATATAAGAAAGCTGTTGGGTATTAGTAAATGATAAACATGTGTACTATTTATATTTATGTGGCAATTTTGTACAATGATCAAATTTGCAATTCATCGGTCCGTTTCTGACTCAAACGGACTGAACCAGGGATAGAGTTGTCGTTCTTGTTTGAAGTAGTTCTGATGTTCAATTCAGTGTATGAAATAAGCCAATCCAGAACAGATTCAGGTTGGAACTTCAAATGTTATTTTAAGCCCAAAATGGATTTAACCAGACCAAACATGAGGAATTTACTCAGATGTATGAAACATCTAAAACCTTTGAAATACACAATTCCATACATCTGAGTAAATTTACCATATTTGGTCTGTTTAAATCCATTTTGGGCTGGTAACATTTTGAAGTTACCAGCCCTGATGTCTGGCTGGATTTTTGGCTTATTTCATACAATGAATTGAACATCAGAACTACTTCTAAAACTGTTACCAGACCATCGGGCTGGCTAGCTGTAAATTAATACCGTCCGTCAGAAATCTAGACCGTTTCGGGCGGTCGGGCGGGCCTTATTTCATACACTGTGTTCATGCGCCAATATGAAACCCTGCCAGAGGGGTTGATGTTCAACAACCTATGCTTGTCATAAGAGGCGACTAATGGGATCGGGCGGTCAGGCTCGCTGACTTGGTTGACACATGTCATCGTATCCCAACTGCGTAGATCGATGCTCATGCAGGTTATCACTGGATTGTCTGGTCCAGGCTCGACTGTTAACAGACCGCTGCCATATAGCTGAAATATTGCTGCGTGCGGCGTCAAACCAACCAACCATTTATGCGCAAGAATTCTTGCGTTCATGTAAAATATTTAAAACCATGTGGCGAAATAGTTCTCTCGCATATATAGAGACAAAAACGTCCAACAACAGACATATCGTATCCTTCATAATGTGGCTTTATTCCCTTTACAAACGTATATGATAAGCACCACACATATCTACGTACTAATAAACAGCCACCATAATCACACGTACCGACGATAGAAAGTAAATATATAATTAATACAGAGACAATATATCTCATTTTATATGTCAATCGCAATGTTCAGTTTGATTATCATTTTAGAAGTTGATGAATAACAAGCATGGTATGATACCTCATGGATGACGTCTTCATTACATTATGATGCGACTTTTCGGTAAACATTCTTATACCGTTTTCAAGCACTCTTCCTCTATACATTCTTACATCTTTGTGACCCGTGAAGGTCCGGGTTAGAATATTGGCCTGCAGTAACCCATGCTTGTCGTAAGAGGCAACTAACGGGATCGGGTGGTCAGACTCGCTGACTTGGTTGACACATGTCATTGGTTCCTAATTGCGCACATCGATGTTCATCACTGGATTGTCTGGTCCCGACTCGATTGTTTATAGACCGCCGCCATATAGATGGAATATTGCTGAGTGCGGCGAAAAAATCAACTCACTCACTCACTTACATCGTTGTAAAGCAAGAGTAATGGATAACGGTACAAGAATCAAACCGAAACGTCGTATCATAATATACGAGAGCGGTGGGATTGCTAAGTGGTTAAACGTTCGCTCGTCACTTCGAAGTTGCGATTCTTCACATGGGTACCAATGTGTGAAGCGCATTGGTGTCCCCACCGTGATATTGCTGGGATATTGCTAAAAGCGGCGTAAAACCATACTCACTCACTCATCATAATATAATATAGACTGACTGACTGACTGACTGCGTTTGGTTTTCGCCGCTTTTAGCAATATTCCAGGAATATCACGGCGGGGGTAACCAGAAATGGGCTTCACTCATTGTACCCATGTGGGGATTCGAACCCGGATCTTCGGCGTGACGAGCCAACGCTTTAACCACTAGACTACCCCACCGCCCCTAATATAATATAGAAGTTGTCATCTATGAAGTATCATACCTTTCTTCTCAATCAAAATGGCTATAAAATAGTGATACAGGCCCATGTGCAATCCATAACCTTGAATGATCATTACTATTGTTCGTATTTGTTATGAAAAAAGATCAATACTGTCTTCATTCCGATGTTCCCCAAACACGAAGTCCGGCATAGGATTATAATCAAACATCTTGAACTCAGGTTCAAACATCTTCATCAATCTGACCTTAGCATCATAGGTCAGGGAGCCGTATGCCTGTCTCAGTGCTCTGTCTCTCGCCTCGTGTAGAATACTGGGCTTGGACGCTTTGTATGCTTTTTGTGCTAATTCATTGAAACGTTCGAATGTTATTTTGGTATCATTTGCTTGTAATGGAAATTCTATCGATATCATTCCCCGAATCTGCCATGTTTTCCAGGTTCTCCGGAGTCCTTCAATAAGTGACACACCGGATCTTTCCATGGCCCTCCGAGTGTGATAAAACACAAGATGACCGAGTCTGTAAATCGTTTCCGACTTACCGTGGAAGCAATACTTTAGTATATTCTCCCCGACAGTCGTAAAGTTGAGCAAACCCATGATGTCACTCATATAGACCACGTCATCTCGAAACGTCTCCATCTTCCCAATGTACGTATAATCAATCTCACAAAACCCACAGTGTTCACTCATTGGTTTAAAATGGCTGTCAATGTGCTTTTTGTTTTCATGGCAGTAAAGCACGTAATCCACCAACTCGGCAAATGTTATTTCGTGACCGCCACGTGATCTTTTAGTATGGGAAGCGTTAAATCGAACGACAGACCTTCCTAAGGTATTCCAGAACGAAGGATTGATATAGAATATTTTATCAACATATCCCGAAAACAATCTCAGGCACGGTTCTCTAACAAATGTCAACATTGTGTTAGATAGTCTGAGCGAGCCGCGATCATATTCAATGGAAATATCATACGCTCCCTTGGGTTTTGACTTGTCAGCGGTTTTCCTATATGCAGTATAAACTTGTCTCCAGAAGGTACTGCCAACCTTTGGTATCATACACATGGAATAAGTTGGCTGGCTAGATTTGTGATCGTACGTCAGGTGTTTGTTGACATTTCTTGGGAATTGTTTATTCCCGAAATGGTCGCAAGCCTCTTTCAACATATTTCTCCTATGAGCAAATCTTCGTTCAAGGTGAGCCTTCATCAGTGGGCTTTGCGTCAGAGGTGATTTGAGGTCTCTCAGTGCCTGCAAACATACATATATATTTATAACTGCTCTCGCCTATATGATGGATAGTATCGTTGGTTGGTTGGTTGGTTGTCGTTTAACGCCGCACTCAGCAATAATCCAGCAATATGAAGGCGGTCTGTAAAGAATCGAGCCTGGACCAGACAAGCCAGCGATCAATAGCAGCTACGCAATTTGGATACGTCAACCAAGTCAGCGAGCCTGACCATCTGATCCCGTCAGTCGCCTCTTACAACAAGAATGGGTTCCTGAAAACAAATTCTAACCCGGAGCTTCTCGGATCAGTTAACATAACTGAAAGCAGAGTACGGTGCACCCTGGTTATAATGCCAAACTGGATATAATCCCATGTTTTGCCTGAACAGATTTCCTGCCTATATAATACCCTTGTTATAATGCCCTGGTTTATAATGCCAAACTTGATATAATGCCACGTGTTTGCCAGACTGGACTTCCTGCCTCTATAATACCTCGGTTAACTGAATATAATGCCAATTACACTGGCTGCATGTAGTATACTACATACTTTAATTGGCTGGTTGACATGACTCAGATTAATTGACCAAACTCATGAATGATTTACGTCTTGTAATCCCAGATAGGATAACACCCGTGACAATACACTTCCTGCCACCTACAGCAAGTCACCTGCAGCCCCTATAGATGCTGGGATTCAAGGCTCATTACAGGAGACATCAGCTCAATCACCTTGTTGATTGCACAGGTCCTCTAACTGGCCTACCTGGTTATAATGCCACTAGGGGTGGGTATTGCAGAGAATTTTCATATTGCGATATATTGCGATGCGAAAGCATGTATTGCGATATGTATTGCAATATATTGCATGAAGTATTTTTAAACAAAAAACTACTTACAATCGAGGTAATGCTTGATTTATAGAGCAAATACACAGCAAAATCACTATGCTTGATTAAGCTTTAATAACAACTTTTATTCATGATTAAAAATAAAAATGTGAATAATATTTGGCACAAATGAAAAAAGGAAATATCCGAAGATTTCCGAGTGTTACGAAGTTTTCCGAATGCAAGTCAAAAAACCGGTTTTCGATCAGCGTAAATACCGGTAAACCGGTTATATTGCGCAGCCCTAAATGCCACCCTGCATATAATGCCATATTTTCTTCGGGACAAACGGTGGCATTATAACCAGAGTATAATGTATGTCATTTCTGTAATGATACAGCAGCACACATCCAACGACACAGAATACATCAAGAAGGCAGTTTCCATGTAGATTGAGTACGTATAACTTACTTGAAGAGTGAGTGAGTGAGCTGGGTTTTACGCCGCTTTTAGCGATATTCCAGCAATATCACGGCGGGGGACACCAGAAATGGGCTTCACACATTGTACCCATGTGGGGAATCGAACTCGGGCCTTCGGCGTGACGAGCGAACGCTTTAACCACTAGGCTACCCTGCCGCCCCTACTTGAAGAGATGTACAATAAATCTTTGATAACCTTTTTCAATCTAAGGTCTATTGGGAAGATAACAGTTTGCAAAAGTTTGACATCAATAATAGTAGTATCTACTTGATGACACATTCATTCAAACTGAATTTCTTTTTCCGACAGACCCCACTTCCGGTCCTTCAAGGCCGAGCGTCATGAGGACACACTACTAAGCATAAAGTAAAGTTACTTCATAGGACGATATTGCGACGTAGACTCTTACCCCGTTATCAAAAAAAATGTGATGATGATGTGGTTTGGTTTTATTTCTTTTTTTGTTGGTATTTATTAAAGTTACAGGTAAGCTGCGTATCTGCGTAAATTACGCAAATATGTATGTGAAAACTCAATTCCTATTAAGTCTATTGCGTACAAGTACGCTTGATTTTTTGTAAATACTCAATAAATTTTATCTTACATGCGTACACACAAAAATGTCAAATCTAACTAACTGAGGTATATTGAGAGGTTCTATTTCAACAGATGAACTTGGCAATTTAACCTGCAGTCTTTCTTATCGTTTCTCATTAGAAATCAAATATAAATAAAAAAACATGTAAACTAACATTTAAACATAATTATAGTTTTACAATTAATGGAAAATGGCAAATTATCCAATTGAGTTTGAGTGAGATGGGTACAATTTATTTGGTTACTCAAAGGAAAATTAGGATACCCAATTGAGATGAACACAAGCGAGTACATAACTCAATGACCCCAAAAGTTATCTGTAGCTCTGGCACTAGTTGGTTATGTGGAATTATATGCGACCTAGAAGGCCAGTTTTAATTAGAAATATACCTAAGGGTTTGAGGTTTGAGGGTTATTTACATGTGACTACAACCAGGTGTATATATGTTACAGAAATATGTATAATTTGTAAATATGTATAATTTTGTTTCTTAACTTTCTGGAATTATGTATAATTACTGAAATTTTCAGTAATTATACATATTTCGGGATTATACATATTTCCTGTAACATATATACATACTATACAGATTTGACAAAAACGACAGGAAATTGATCAGAGGTAGCACTAAAGTGGATGCAGCCAGATGGAGAGTACGAAAAGTAGCACAGTGGAATATACAGGAAGGATTAAAGCTGATTTGATGATATTAAATAGTTGATTGATAGAGACTAATTGCTTGATAAACTCTTCGTTGGAGAGGATTTCGACGTTGTCAAACTGAAAATGATTCAGAGATGGACTCTGTCAATGAACTGTTTAACCAATTGTCTCTTGTGACAGGTGTTACTAGTAATTAGATACATTCAACGACAATAGTCCTATTTCGTTCCGGGAAGAGTTGAGTTTTGGAATAAACCTTGATCAGTCATTGGGGCTGGCACAGCTGTTACATAGCCCATGTGAGTGAGAGAGAATTTACGTCGTTTTTAGCAATATTCCAGGAATATCACGGCGGGGAACACCAGAAATGGGCTTCACACGTTGTACTCATGTGGGGAATCGAACCCGGGTCTTCGGCATGACGGGCAAACACTTAAATCAATAGGCTACCCCACCGCCCCATAACCCATGAAGTGTAGGTTTACGAAATTTGTACTTACACGAAAGGTGACTGGAAAAACATTAACATAGTTGCACTTTCTGGGGATAACAGCTAAAATATAGACTTAAAACGGATTTATTTAATATGCTAACCATGCAACTGGTAAATAAAACATCGTACTTTTTTAAAGTTACGGTCAGTAATATTCCAGATGTAAGATTGTGATTGTAATCGAGACCAGACAATGCAGTCATTCCAAATATACTATTCCAAAAAAGAAACGCATAACCCAGAAATCTGTTGCTAAAATGTTTTCAAACATGTATAACTCGTCCACAAATAGACTTTAGTACATGATTTTTACATCAGTTTAGAAGAAGGAAATGTCTATACAACCAAGTGAATAATTTTAGATAACGGAGACGATGGTGACCACGTAGCATGGTCCCGAGGTCGGGTTCCCTGGCTCTCAGTCCAATCTCTCTCAACCTGTTCCCTACAGTTTGACCGGATATGCCTTTTTAATTCTTGAAAGAAATCTCATCAAAATCAACATTATCAGGTAAAGTCGACTTTTAACTTGCGCAATAGTGTAAAAACAGGTTTTCAACACTTTTGTTACATATTTTGACGATTGTTTGAACACAACTGGTCATTAATAGATTTGTAGAAATACAAAACGCCTATGCTTTTTTTCTTTTCTTTTTTTTTTTTTTTTGGGGGGGGGATAGTTTATATTAATGTGGACAGTTTACTATTTCAATCCTTATTTCAAACGTGAGAGTAGCATAGTGGCCGAAAACCCGGGTTCGATTCCCCACATGGGTTCAATGTGTGAAGCCCATTTCTGGTGTCCCCCGCCGTGATATTGCTGGAATGCTGACAGAGCATTTAGGAGATAATGAAATGTAGGATAAGTCTAAACCAGTGTCAACATTTACACTTATTTCAAACATTACATTCATATGGCTTGGCTGTACAAAAGACTAACTTGCCATTCATATCTAACGCGCAATTACCTCAACATTACTGCTTGATGAAAGGTCCGGTCGTTTTAAAGTTCCACCTGAAAGAAACCGCGGAGGCTTAAATTAAAGGCCTGATATGCAAAGTATGAGTGAGTGAGTTTTACGCCGCTCTCAGCGATATTCATGGGTCTGATCAAAATAATGTCCAATGCTGTTTTCACTTTTACAAAATGTTCTGGTGTTTTTTCACGTAAAAATTTGGCATGCCTTTGCATGTGTTTGTGTCACATGCATGTGCAGGATGTGCTTACCTTCTCTCAAACAGCGGGGTAGCCTTGTGGTCCCGATTCGATTCCCCACACGGGCACAATGTGTGAAGCCCATTTCTGGTGTCCCCCTCCATGATATTGTTGGAATATTGCTAAAAGCGGCGTAAAACTAAACTTACTCACTCTCTCGAACACGTGGTATCATAATTAATTGGTAAGGATTTATAAATACATATTTCTCAGATATTAACTCCAAGTCACCATTCAATAGAGCAATTCAACAATGAATCTAACTGCTTTTGCAAACCTTTCTCATGTGGTCGAAATCTTACAACGGACTCCTGTTTCAGCAGAGATTTCGTAACTCAAGAAAACGGTTTTCCGCTTTTTTTCGAACAATATTTGATTTGCTCTTTGTTTAATACATATATCCGGGAATATTGCAGCAGATGACAATTGCAAATGAGAATGATCTCAGTACGTTGTACATATGTGAAGAGCACAATTTCTTTTTTCTGATAAAGCTTATCAGTTGCCCAGAACTGTTTTCTGATAGAGCTACGACTATGCTAAGTCTATGGTACGAACAGTCCTAGTGTTACCATGGATTTGTGAAACCTGGTTCTGGACCCCAACATGACCCAATGAAACAGACCCGTGCAGATCCGGGTTAGAAGTGGTCTTCTTGTCTTCCTGTTTAGATACTTACAGCGTTGCAAAGCAAGAGTGATGGAAAACGGTATACATGTAAGAATTTAACCGATACGTCGTATCATAATATAAAAGGGTCTTGCCTAGTGGTTAAAGCGTCCGCTCGTCACGCCGAAGACCCGGGTTTGATGTGTGAAGCCCATTTCTGGTGTCCCCCGCCGTGATATTGCTGGAATATTGCTAAAAGCGGCGTAAAACCACTCAAGAGGCGACTAACGAGATCGGATGGTCAGGTCCGCTGACCATGTTGATGCATGTTATTTTATCCCAGTTGCACTGATTTTTCGAGTATGCTTCAGACGAGATGTGTTACCATAATATTATAGCTGGAATATTGCTGAGTACGGCGTTAAACAACAAACAGACAAAGGCAACGGATTAGAGGAGTAGGCCTTGATATTTTCCCTCAAATCCTATAATAAAACATTATGTATATATTGGACTCAACACACACTCACCTGTCATCCGCAAATATATGACCCAAGCACCTAGGCCTTGAATCACAGCAAGGACAGCGATAATAGGTCTCCGTCGCATGGTGTTGACGAGCCGAATAAGCCAGTGTCGCACTTCACCTGTTGACGGATCGATCGGCCAGATAAGTTGGCACCGTTAAGTGTATATATATATATATATATATATTAGCAATTAATGGTTTTATCTGCAATTACCGGACATCATAGTGTGTGTGTGTGTGTGTGTGTGTGTGTGTGTGTGTGTGTGTGTGTGTGTGTGTGTGTGTGTGTGTGTGTGTGTGTGTGTGTGTGTGTGTGTGTGTGTGTGTGTGTGTGTGTGTGTGTGTGTGTGTAGCAGGTGTGCGAGGGGGTGCCCATGGGGCCCTGGTCCTCCTAGTGTCGCAGCACAAAGAGGTCTACAACTGCAACCACAGGTGATCCAGGTAAGTCGGGTTTTATTAAAATTGCATACATATCTAATAAAAATGTATTAATGTATTATTTATTTCCAACTAATTGAAAATCGGATATAACGTTGGCATTGTAATTGTAACAACGTTGGATTTACAGATGGATTTCGAGACTGCCGCCAGAAACGCTGCTATGAGAGTCTTCCCTGATGTCAGGTGGAAGGGCTGTTTCTTCCACTTTACACAGTGTGTGTGGAGGATGACCCAGCAGGTTGGCCTTCAGGTGGACTACGGCAACGACATGGATGTCAAAACATTTGTTCGGCGATGCGCTGTGCTGCCCCTTGTCCCCATAATTGATGTAAGTATAATGTTTTCCCAAAATTCCTTTAGAAATTACCAGAGATATGCTTCTTTCATATCAGATTTTATTTATGAATGTTATTTTATCTTATTTTACACAATTTCGTTATTATTTTGAGGTTGAAGATGTGTGGCTGGACACCATTGCAACGATGCCTGACGACAGACGCTGCACGCAGTTGGCAGACTACATCACCACAACAAGGATTGAGGGCGACTTCTCCAAAGCTAGCTGGAACCACTTCACCACTGACGGCCCCCGCACCAACAACACACTGGAAGGATGGCACAACAGGGTGAAGAAGTTGGTGTGCAAGGCCCACCCCAACATTTATGAACTGATCCAGTTCTTAAAGATGGAGCAGACAACAACGGATACCAGGTACCTGCAGTACGATGCTGGCCAAAGGAGGCCTCCCAAGAGGAGGCAGTACAGAGATTTGGACAACAGACTGGACCAGCTGAAGACGAGACTCCAGGTCAACAACTTCGCCGTTTTGGAGTATGCCGTTTTGGAGTATGCCGATGCAGCAGCACACCTGCTTAGTTTGTAAATTAGTGCTGTTGATGATGTATGTAACATCGATGTACATGTGCAAATAAAACAGTTTTGCCATTTCTCCTAGTTCCAATTGTCTGTCGGCCCTAATCCGGCTTAGTAAATTTAGTCTGAATATGTCCCGTAATTGCAATAATTGGCTATTTAGCCCTGGTCCTCCTAGTGTCGCTGGGGACACGACTGGTATCAGCGGGCTTATATACATCATATTATCAATGACGACATCAAAGATTTGTAATTACGGGAAGCTAAACAAAATATTGAAATAGACGAGTAATGCGCTCATAGAATAGGAAGGAGGCATAAGCAGAGGCTGGGTTATAATTTTATCTTTTGTGAAAAGTGAATTTTTTTCCATTCACGCAAATATTTGACGTTATACACAACGTATATACATGGTTCCCTGTTAAAGAGGGGAAGTTGTATTTCCGGGTCAGTCCGACCAGTGAAGATAAGGGTTAGAATTGATCTTCAATAACCCATGCTTGTCGCAAGAGGCGACTAACAGGATCGAGTGATCAGGCTCGATGACTTGGTTGATACATGTCATCGTATCCCAATTACGTAGATCGATGCTCATGCTGTTGATCACTGGATTGTCTGGTCCAGACTCGATTATTTACAGACCGTCGCCATACATCTGGAATATTGCTGAGTGTGGCGTAAAACTAGACTCACTCACTCACTCTGTTCTTGCTCTTTCTGATTTGTGTTCACTTTGTTAAATACATAGTGTTATTATTATTGGATGTGAACTGATACTCAAGATTGAGAGCAATCATACAAAGCTGATTAAGTGTTCACCTATCAAAACTACTTGTTGTCAACGTTCATTAATTCCACTGCTATCAATGATCTCACCTACTACAGTTTTATAGTATCTCATATATAAACTTGAGTATGAATTCTTACCAACAATTTATTAGTACAATGCAAAATAAAGAGGCAAGAAGACGGTAAAAATCAAAACAATCAACTAGCTATTTTTGTCATTTAGAAAACGAGAGTTACACAAGTAATTAATATATCGTAGCGGGTGAAAACTGATTATTGAACAACAAAAATACTTCAAGGACCAGTTTCAGGAAGACCAGGCACTTATCACCAAAATCTTTACACAGTATCAATATATTAACACGGAAAAACTAGACAAAGTTTTACCAATATTTTATAACGATATGCGTTATTGAAAACTGGAAATATTACAGATTAACCGACTACGTTCCTCAATCTTGAACCTGTCAAGGGTCACATTGATAACGAGCATCGGACTTAATCCGGGACCAGTATCTCTAAAGCAACAGAACCAAGGTGCATTACGTTTATCTGTCTTTACGACTGTTTGTATTCCACATTGGTCAAATCACGTCTGTGCCACATATACCTTCGTGGCATACTCGCGACTGGCCATCGATGCTTCGGTCCAACTAAATGACATAATCTCACGTTCACAATAACAACGTTATCGTAGGTTTTATCTGTAAACGCGATTATTTGCGATAGCTAGAATAGATATATATTACGGATGACAGTCACAAATCAGGGGGTGGCTGTCTAGTAAATTCACTCAGGTGTGTAACTTGACTTTCTTTTAGTTCGAGAAGTCTTTACCATTTCTATTGTGTGTTAACTTAATCTTATTGGGCATCTCTTTACTATTTGTTACCCTTAGCACAACCGTTAGGTTTATGTGGAACGAGGCATCCCTTAGTAGGTGTCTCATATCTTCTGTATTACAGTTTAGGATTGTTTATTTAATACTGATTGACACTACACTGTTTTGTGACTATTATAGAATGTATAGAATGTGTCGGATATTTTAACTATTGTATTACGTTGTGAACACTATGCTGTTTTGGACCGTTACAGAATGTAGATTGTATGAACCCCCACTGGGGTGATGTGTAGTGTACTGAACTGTTGTGTACATTGGAATATGTGTCGCGATTAATGTAGTATGTGTCGTGTGTAACGAATCTACATGTAATGTTTATTTACTTTGATAGCTGATTGCATTGTTAACATGTTCTAATAATTAATTATAAATCATACCATTATTGATTGATCATGTGAAATGATCCTGTGACTGCTGTGTAATAAACGCCTTGTTTATTTACTCAGGTGTTGTGTTGTGTGTGGGTTGGTATAGTCAGACCTCTTGCCAAGCGAGCTAATTCCCCAACACTCGCGTCTTAACAAATACATTAGACTTTAACACCGCATTAGAAAGTCAAATTAAAATCAAAGTAAGTATTTAGATGCAGTTGATCCATAAAAAATATTCAAATTTCAGCATTATCACGGATGGGACTCCAGAAATGGGCTTCAAACAGTGCACCCATGTGGGTTTAGGCATGGTGTGGTAGCCTAACCTGGCCCCCCTAACCTAACGGTTAAAGCATTCGCTCGTCATGCCCATGACCGGGGTTCGATTGTCCCTCATGCTCTATCGAAACACGGACACAGCTTTGTATCCTTGCCGGATCCACCTGGAACGTTGCTTGATTACAAACCAGATACTGGTTGTTAAACATTTCAGGTATTGTGGCATTTCATGTTTTTTTTACCATAAATCCTTTTTTGTTGTTGCCTTTGGTGAGGCCAGAATGTTTGCGACACAGGTTATTCTCTTGCATTGGCGTTTTGCGTGGATCACGTTATGACTACACAATTCAATGCCATTTAGAAAGTGGTCAAATGTAACATACGTGTCACACTTCAGTCTTATTAAAAGCTACTAGCGTCATTGTTTGGGTAATTGCCATCGATTCCAGGTATTTGTTTTGACATGTTTAAATTGACATCCTTGATAATTCAGTTGATTCACTAGGTTCATTCAAATGGTTTTGTTTTGCTAATATTGTATTCTAAATTGACATCCTGGATAATTCAGTTGATTAAATATCTGATATGATTACACTCTAGGGGGCTCTTCATGTTATGACTGAAATATTGCCCTTGTGACGTAAAATGTTAACTCACTCACTCACACTCTTAATGATGGTACCAGTGTGTATCAGTGATAAATGAGATCACTAAACATACCATTTTAATTATTATTTATAGATTAAGATAGATAAACGCAGCAAAGAGGATTCGCAAGATTCGGAATTCAGGGTAGTTGGTTGGTTTGCTGTTTAACGCCGACCCCACTGCGCAATATTCCAGCTATATGGCGGCGGTCTGTAAATAATCGAGGCTGGACCAGACAATCCAGTGATCAGCAGCATGAGCATCGATCTACGCAATGGAGATACAATGACATGTGTCAACCAAGTCAGCGAGACACAGACACAGACACACACAGACACACAGACACACACACACACAGAGAATAATAATAATTGGATAATTGTCATTTTCCATAATTGCCTTCTTCATGTTCTGAGGCGTACCGTGGATGGAAGCAAACCACATGCATGGCGAAGACGGAAATGAAAGGAACAAGCTACGTCATCACTGCAATTAAAATTACATGTACTGTGTGTTGTGACAACTGCATCCACTGACAAATAGATTTTAGTCCTCCCAGCACGACACCTAGGAGACAGATGGTCTACCTTCGCACCATCGCGGAACACACTGTCAATGACAGAGTTGAAACAGTGAAGTAAGATTGTTTGGACCCATCATCACCATCATCATCATCATCATCATCACTATCTGTGTTCTTTGTAACTACATAGACGTACTATATCTATTATAAGTTGCCATGTGTTCGCGAGTTTCATAGGGAGATTTTCCATGTGTCCGAGTTAAATATCAAACGAGAAAAGTATACCTCGG